GGCCGATTTGTCTGTACAAGGTCTGTCACACACTGAGCCGTGGCTAGGTTCCCCAGGCCCCGACAATTCCAATTCATGATGCTCATGTTTACTTCCTAAGCAAAAACCTCGAAAAACTGAGGAAGAACACCCGGACGCTCCGCCACAAGGGCTGACGCCGGAAAAACCCTAGGAAGACCTAGGAGACGATCGCTTCCTTATGGTAATCGGTTTTTTTCAGATGTAACATTTTAATATATAGCTTTGTATTTTATAACAAAATAATATGCAACACTTTGCAAATTGTGTTGACTAAAAAAAGTAAATATGCAAACCATTTTAGGACGGGGAATGCCATATTTAGAAGTTGTAACTGAAATTTTTTACAATAATATGAGGACGGACGGATGGAGTATAATATAATGAAATGACGGTAGGAATGTAGGATGATCATGCATGCTTAATTGATGATTTAAATGCAATGGATAAAAATGCGAATTTTTATACTTTATTAACTTTAATATCAACTTTAATTTCACGATGATGATAACCACATTCAATTTGACACCATACCAACTAGCTAGTACTCCGTATTTAATTAAGAAAAAATCTGATTTAATTACTTAATTGTTTGGCTAAATAGGATATAAAAGGGGGAGAGGTTGTGAATCTCACATCTGGCAGCCCCATAGTGTTTTGGTCTGCCAATGAAACTCAAACTCCTGAAAAGAAGGTGATGGGGAAGCTAGATATGGTGGAAGCTAAACTGGGAATGGCTAGAGCTGCAATAAGAGAAGCTCTCCATGGAAACCAAACATCTGACTTTGACTATGTTCCCATGGGTCCGGTTTATTGGAATGCCAAAGTTTTCCACAGGTAAGCCAAGCATGCAATTTTAGTACTCCGTACTACATACAAATTTAGTACATACGTAATATTCAATATATAATAATACTCAAGCATCATTACTAATTTAGTAAATACCCAAATGATACATAATCCTTCTGTCTCATAAGATTCTTCTCACTTACGTTACCAGTTTGAGACGTCCTACAAAAAAATCATTTCTCATTTTAATTTTGTCTATGTTTTTATTCTTTATTGAGTGACTTCTATAATAAAACATAATCTAGCTAGACTCAATGGCCATGCTACTTAGCTACCGTCTACAAGCGGGGGGCGGATCCAGGAATTGGTGTTGGATTGGAATGAGGAGTGATACATATATATACTAGGCCTAAACATTAGCATGATGGGCTAAATATGAATAATGAAAAAAATTACACACAAAAAAGGTTTGTGTGCTTCAACCCATGCACCCTAGCTAGCCCTAATGACAGACATATATGGTGCGATTAAAATAAAGAGGGTGTTTGACTTGAACAGTGAATATTTTTCACTTTTGCTTCGCTACACTACAATTTTTCTCTCATTTACGAAAATGCCACCTCATTTTTAACATGCATTGTTGACACTTTTTGAGCCATCAAATCCCAAAGTCAGTGCACAAACCTTGTTCACATATTTCACATTAAGATTTCTTTTTATTTGATCCAAAATATATGCGTTCTCCATTTTATTTTAGCTCCAACATGCCCATTTTCACTCTTGTTAATGCACACATTTGACTGTCATTATATTTAATTCTCTAATTGTTGAAAAAAATTCAAATTATGAAAATTTGTAATGAGTCAAATTCAAAAATAATTTAAAAACATAATTCTTAAACATTAATAAATAAAATGTAATCAAAGTAGAACATGTGAATATTGTAAAATTGTATGTCTATCCAATAGTATATAGCACGTCACATGTAGGGCATATGTCAACCCGACAAAATGTGAGAGAAACATGAAATATATAAGGTCAAGGGTGCTCCGCTAGTGTAGCCGTGTAGGGATTACCTATTGTATTCAAAAGAATATTTCCATGAACACATACATGACATTTATATTTGCTACTTTCTAAACTTAGATAATTAGAAAAAAAAAAGTTAGATACTTGAAGTGATCTACAAAAAAATTGATAAATTAAAGCCTAAGAAATGGCAAATCAAAGAAAAACTACTTGATAATAAAAAAGGTAAAATTTTATCATGAATAAAAAACATCATTTAAAAATTTATGAAAAAAGTTTATATACTTGATTAAAAAAATAGTAAACTTTATGGAAAAAAATTTATCATAAAAAAGCCTAATTTGTTTTCATGAATAATTTTATCAAATAAAAAAATAGTTTTTAAGTAACTTATGTCTGATTTAATTGCATGAATTTGATATGAATAAAGAGTCAATTTTTGAATTATACTTTTGTATATCATGTGTACTTATGAGTCACTAGAATTTTTTCTTTAAATTACAATAGTAAATATAAGATTAGATTTTTTAATTTTAGAATAATATTATGATGCTAATTCACATAGTTGGTGCATACTTCATATTATATTTGTATTAATGGCAGAATATATCAAATATTATTACTTGTACAATAGTTTTTTAAAAAGTCAAAACTAAATGAATTGTGTAATTCTAATGTCAAAAAACATTTATTTTTTAGATTTACTTCACATAATCTTAAAATTGTATAACTAGTGTGTGTGATATTTAATAATGCTTGATATTTTACAAAATTGAGTACTAACTAGACAAAAGATAAATTAATAAACATTACAAAACCAAGATTCCTTTTTTTATGTATCCTAAGTCATAAACCAATGAGATTATTCTATTGTTTAGCATGTTTTTACTTGGATTTATTTCAATCAAGGACTAGACCACACTTAACCAGACCATATTAGACTTTAATAGATCACACCACACCAAATATCGATAGTTATAAAATACACATAATAAGACAGATTAGTTCAGACCAGACTAGACTAACAAAATTCAGTCCAAGTAAAAAATTATTTGTCAAAGACAAGATACATTATTTTAGTTTTTTCTCCTTTTACACAAATTATTAAGTACTATTATTATACGAAGTATTATCATTATGAGACTTTACTTTTATTTTCATTAAATCCTGTCTGGAATAAGATGTACGAAGTATGTTTGTATTAAGTGACACTAGGATAACAAGCTTTTTACGCGTAGTTTGAATTATACTATCGTATTAAGTCATTAATTTACCCTTTTGTCTGTAACAAGTGATGAACATACATGGTTTATTTACTTCATGAGTTCTTAGGATATTTTTACTTGGACTGTAATTTGCTGGTCTGGTTTGAACTGGTCTGATCTGGTTTCTTTGTATTTTATAACTATCCAAGTCTGGCCTGATCTGGTCTTGTCTGGTCTGGGATGAATTACAGCCCAAGTAAAAACATCCTTAATGATATTCTGATTGCATAAAATTCATTACAATAATAATTCACTAAACAAATAAGTTCACAAAATACATCGATATAAATTCAAAAATATTATGGCAACATATTAAATTGAAGCATTTCCTACTAATCAATTAACAATTTCATCTCATAAATTCGTCATATGATGTATGTTTCGTGTTCCCCATTGGATTCCATCTATTTCTTCTCCACTCCATTTAGTTACTCCTTCATTGAATATTGTTTTATCCTCCCATTCATCACATTGCTCATCTTGAATATTCTATTTTTTTTTATAAAGTTATGAACAGCAAAACAAGTAATCACCATGTGCAACTACCACACTCCATGGCTATGACCTGCAAAGTGAATATCTAAATCTAATCCTTAGGCAAATTAATTTTTTCTTTGAGAAAATCTTAAAGTAAAACTATCATATATGGGAGTCTAATAAAAGAGGTTCCATCTATTTCTTCTACACTCCATTTAGTTACTCCTTCATTGAATATTGTTTCATCCTCCCATTCATCACATTGCTCATCTTGAATATTGTATTTTTTATAAAGTTATGAACAGCAAAACAAGCGATCACCATGTGCAACTACCACACTCCATGGCTATGACCTCCAAAGTGAATATCTAAATCTAATCCTTAAGCAAGTTAATTTTTCCTTTGAGAAAATATTAAGTAAAACTATCATATATGGGAGTGTAATAATAATAAAACTCTAACACATAACCCGAGGGTTAAGAAATATTGCAATCAGATTGTTTAATAAGTGAAGATCGAGAATAGGGAGTAATTATGCAATCTTAAGAGTCCGTTTGATGGCCCTGTTTTTCAGCTTATCAGTCTTATCAACCATCTTTTTTGCCAAATACGTGCTGAATTTTGTAATCAGTGGCGGATTTGGAACTCAATTTTTTGGGAGTTCAATGCTTTTCTATAACTAGAATTTTTAATAGTAGTAAATAATTATAATAAATTTGCATATATACTTAAATTTTTAGAACACATGTGGCTCCACCACTGCTTGTAATAATAAGAAGGGGAAATGGAAACTAATAATCCAACCTTTTAGCGGTCTTCTTTTAATAGTCCCACATTTTCGTTATTCATGAATAATCCAACCTTTGCACCTCATCTTCATTCATTGGTCCCCGACCGGTTGATGACCTGCTATTCCGAGTTATTTTCTTATCTCTGCAAACTATTATACCATAAATTCCACCTTTCACAAAGATAATATTTTGCAAAGATAAGAAAATAACTTGGAATACCAGTTCATCAACCGGTCGGGGACCAGTGAATGAAGATGAGGTGCAAAGGTTGGATTATTCATGAATAACGAAAAAGTAGGACTATTAAAAGAAGACCGCTAAAAGGTTGGATTATTAGTTTCCATTTTCCCTAATAAGAAAAGGTAAGGTTGAAGTTACTTTTTTGGCTGTATTGGCCGCAATTACTGTAGAGAGTCATTTTAACTATTTTCATACAACTTTTTCTTTATTTAATTAATAAAATATATTTTAGATATAATGTTTTTCAAAAATCACCACAACCACTCAATCCAGTCACTTAAGTCAAAACTTCATAAATTCCAGCACAACCAGCCAATGCAGCCGATTTGGATATTACCAAACGGGCACTAAATGAGAACAAAAGTATAGAATGAGTGATAGGATCTCAGATTTCTTAACAGTAATTTGATTATTATTACTGATATCAACTGCAGAAAGAAGAAGAATTACAATTGAGGCACTTCGAGAGGCACTCACTCTCCAAAACCCAAGTCCCGATTCTAAAATCTGTCTGCCTTCTTATTTCTCCCTCCCTACTATTTATACTACTTATGGGTCAGCCCAATATTAACTAATACCTAGCCCAGAACCCTTTACTACAACATCACAATTATTTATTATACTTCTATTATTATTAGCATTATTATACTAATGGGTCCCTATCATATCTCCCCCCTTGAAAAACCACCTTGTCCTCAAGGTGGGCGATAGGAACCGGCCTGGACTTTCAGCTGAATCTTCATCCTTGCGCCTCTCCCCTCCCAGTACAAGACCGATTGTTGGACTGAGTTCTTGTTGGACTGAGTTCTTCCCTGCTGGAATCTTCTTCCTTACTTCCTCCAGTAATAGCCTCAATAGATTCCCTATCTTCAGAGCATCAGCACCACTCAGATGGCTTTGTTCATGTTGGCATTGAGTGTTACCCATCTGCCCCATCATCCGCTGGTCAACCTTCCCATTGCTAACAACTCTTGCTTCAGGATATGACTCAAGCTCTTGGATTTCAGTTGCTACACTCCTTGAAGTTGTAGTATCTGATATGAAGTATTCCCTGGGACTGATAATAACAACAGAAACATCAATTAACTGATCAACAACAAGAAGGGCAGAGTCCATTTCAGATTTATTCAAGGAAGCTTTCCAATAGAAATCCTGTAATCCAGACTTGATAGGTGCAAACCATGACATGAATGGTGCAGAGCCTGTTGCTGTTTCGAATATGGATAACATTCTGGCATAAGGAAAGTCTGCAATATACTCTTTACCTTTTGGACAGCCTGTATCTTGTTTCTTATCAACTGTATTCTTCTTGTCAGTAAATACCATCTGAAACTGATAGGCACAGACTAAACCTCCATCCGGAACAGATATACAGACCTCTGGCTTTTCCCTACCATTTTCCTTTTCCATTTGCATCAGACTTCCTTCACAATATACAACGTACCCATCTCCATTATCTTGTGTAATTTGTGCGAAGGTCTTCAATGAAACTTCCTCTGAACCTAGTTTGAGATCTCCCTGAACTGAATGCTTGACCCCTGAACTCTGCCATTTGACAGTTTGTTTCTGAAAGTTTATCTCAACATCACCCAGGCTGGTTAGCCATTCCATTCCCAATACAAGATCAGTTCCTCCTAAGTTTAAAATGTAGAAATCCTGTTGTATATCTGTATCTGGCAAACTCAGTATCACCTCTTCACATCTTCTGTCATTAGCTATCTTTTCTCCATTGCCAAGCTGTACCTTATACCCTGAAATGGTCCTGAAAGGTAGCTCCAGTTCTTCCACCAATTTCAGAGAAATGAAATTATGTGTGGCTCCGTTATCTATCAACACTTCCACCTGTTTTTCTCCCAGCTTCCATTTCAGCACCCCCTTAACCTTAAAGGCTCGCATGCTGGGTTTGCCCTCTCTGCTCATAAAAGATAATTGCATGGATTTAGACTCCAGCACCACTTCTTCTTCTGGATCTTCAGGTTCTTCCCCATCTGTTTCTTCGTCAGCATCTGAGTCTTCAACTAACATCAACTTGTAGTGCCTCAGTTTGCAGGTATGCTCTTTATTCCACTTTTCTCCACACTTGAAACACAGCCCCTTCCTGCTTCTCTCTTGAAATTCTTCTTGGGATAATTGTGGTGCTACCTTCCTGATCCCTGAAGTCTGCATATCTGTGACCTTCTTCCCCATTTTCTCAAACCAGGAATTGAAATTTCTATTATCACCAGCACCTTTTCCTTGATTATTGAATTCAGAGTTACCATATCTGGCCTTATAACCTTCTCCCCAGTTCTGAGATTTGCTAGGTATCGGTCCCTTATCTTTACCCCACATTTTTTCATCCTCCTGCTTCTTCAAATTTGTAGCGACATTCTTTCTTTCAATCAACACTGCTGTCTCCATAACTTCAGCTAGAGTTATAGGTTTATATAGTTTCAATTCAGCCTTCACTTCCTCCTTCAACCCAGTGATAAAAATTCCTCTCAGCATTTCCCTGTCCACGTTCTTCTGGGGTGCTATAGTCAGCTCAAATTCATCCCTATAGTCACTTACAGTACCAGTTTGTTTCAAACTCAACATAGGTTCAAAAGGATTCTGCAGCAACTCCGGTTGAAACCTGCGTATGACAGCCTCCTTCAAAGCTTCCCAGTTAAGAGCTCGTTCTTCCATGGCTAATATAGACACTTCCAGTTTATCTCCTTCAGCAATTTGATTCAACCTAAAGTACCTCTCCATACGTATCAACCAGGTATAAGCCCCGTTTCCATTAAATAGTGGCAGATCCACCTTACGAGCATACTGAATATGAAAACGGGGGTGATCATCACCAGGCCTATGCTCCCGAGGATTAGAGTTTATTGAGTTACCTCTAGACGCAATAGGAGTGTGTGATGAGCGCGAGTATCGGCGATGTTGAGATCGCGACCGGTTGGGTGATGATCGCGAGTGTCGTCGAAGTTGAGATCGCGACCTTTCTCTGTCGCGTAATTCCTCCCTTATGCTATTGATGGCAACCATCATCGCTTCAATTCTCCCATCCATTCGCGTCAAGTTTTCCTCCATCGCGATCCGACTGTGTTCCACCTCTTCCATTCGTTTTTCCATCTTTGCTCGCGTCCGAACCATCCACAGCTTGGAACGACGGAAGTCAGTTGCAGCAGCGATAATTTCCGCTACCAGAAACGATCGCTCTGATACCAATGATAGGATCTCAGATTTCTTAACAGTAATTTGATTATTATTACTGATATCAACTGCATAAAGAATAAGAATTACAATTGAGGCACTTCGAGAGGCACTCACTCTCCAAAACCCAAGTCCCGATTCTAAAATCTGTCTGCCTTCTTATTTCTCCCTCCCTACTATTTATACTACTTATGGGTCAGCCCAATATTAACTAATACCTAGCCCAGGACCCTTTACTACAACATCACAATTATTTATTATACTTCTATTATTATTAGCATTATTATACTAATGGGTCCCTATCAATGAGATCAGAGGATACATCAAGATGAAGAAGGTAGGGGATGAGATTCCTTTTCGCTACTGCCCTCGTGATAGCTCTACCTCCCGTCGATGATTGTTGTAGGTTTATCACGTGTAGGTTTATCGCCAGACTTTATGCGATGAAATATTTGAAAGCAGAAGTCTGGGTTAAAGAAGGCCGTCCTTACACAAGCATACGTAATAATGCTAGTGTCAAAATTAAGTTGAGCGAATAAGTCATAAAACGTAGAGCGAATAAGACACATTTAAATAAAGTCGTAAGTAAACAACACTATATAGTTAAATGATTAAGTTGCAGTTCTCATTAAGTTCATTAAGTTGTAAGTATAACATGTCCTATGTATGATTATGAATTCATTTCTAAAAACTAAATTTTAAGAGTGTGATCGAACACATATATATATTTGATGAAAGTATGAAAGTTATATGAAAATACTACACATATAATGGAGAATTTTGAAAGTCAAAGGGGCTGGTCGCCTGAATCCTTGTTGACTAAGTAATATAACCATGTTCTTTCAAAATGTAACTAGACATCAATCAATATAATTGTCCATCTGTGATCAATGAAAAAGCTAGATCATCATGTATACTACTCTTGCATGCACATATACAATTTCTTTTTGACATAGATAAATGGGAGATTGTCCTAATATAAATAGGAGTAAAAAGGATTTGTAATTCTAAAATAGGACTACCATATATGTTTGTATTGTCAAAATATGAGTAATTATTGTCATGTTTTGACAGAATTAGACTTTAAACATGACAATATTTTTAAACTTGGCAGTAATTACTCGTATTTAGGGAATAAAAACATGATAGTCATATTTTGGAATTCAACAACTAACTTTGCATGCAGCATGGTTAAATTAATACGGAGTACCTGATATGCATGCATGCTGAGCCTTGAAGCAGCTAGCAATTAAATACGGACTCGTGAGAATTATTTTATCGGATTAACATTTTGTGATGACTACTGTTGCATGTGCATTGGTGATGGATCGATCAGGAGTTACATGGAAATGGAGAAAGAGTTGAAGATATATGTGTATGAAGAAGGGGAGCCGCCGGTTTTTCACAACGGGCCTTGCAAAAGTATATATGCAATGGAAGGAAATTTCATTTACCAGATGGAGAGTAGCCCATTTCGGACAAGAGATCCAGACAAGGCACACATTTACTTCCTCCCGCTAAGTGTCACAGCTATTGTCCACTTTATCTACGACAGAACATCACGCAGTAGGGAGCACTGGCTTCCCATGAAACGAACCCTCAGCGACTACATTCATCTCCTAGCCAGCAAATATCCTTACTGGAATAGAAGCTCAGGAGCTGATCATTTCATGCTCGCATGCCATGATTGGGTAAGTCCTCATCACATCCAATTCATTGTGCCCGTCCCGCCACGTTTAATATAACGACTTTAACTTTAATTTCCATCAACATTGCATACCCGACCGAGTAGGCTTTGGTTTGGCCCTCAGCTCCTACTATGTTTAACCTTTTGAATTTAATAAATTGGTGGGGTGTTCCCTGGCCCCCACCCCGGACCACCTCGCGGGTCGGGTCTCTCCAGGAAAAAAAACAGAAGTTAAAAAATAAGGCCAGCTATATACTGACTTATTCAGTCCTATTAAAAGAATAAGGGATACAAACTTCATTTCCCAGCACTTAACTAAGAGTGAATAAGTCTTATTTTTTTAGAAAATGTGTTATCCTAGTATTCTAGCAGTAATAATTAATCGTGGGACTGCATGTTACTGGTGCTGCAGGGTCCTGAAATCTCAAAGGCCATTCCCGAGTTGTTTCAAAACTCAATCCGAGGTCTATGCAACGCCAACACTTCGGAAGGATTTCGCCCTTGGAAAGACGTGTCGATCCCAGAGATCCTTCTGCCAGGAGGTACAATGCACGGCCTAATAGGTGGTCCCTCCCCATCACGCCGCTCAATTCTGGCCTTCTTTGCGGGAGGGCTTCACGGTCCAATAAGGCCAAAAATCCTAGAGCATTGGGAGAACAAAGACGAAGACATTCAAGTTCACAGGTACCTGCCCAAGGGCGTTTCGTACTATGGGATGCTAAGAAAGAGCAAGTTCTGCATCTGCCCCAGCGGGTACGAGGTCGCAAGTCCCAGAATGGTGGAGGCCCTTTACACCGGTTGTGTCCCTGTGCTCATTAAGGACCACTATGTTGCACCCTTTGCTGACGTCCTCAACTGGAAGGCGTTTTCGGTTCATGTCCGAGTGGAGGACATCCCAAACTTGAAGCAGATTCTCGAGGGGATCTCACAGCCTCAGTATATAAGGTTGCAGAGAAGGGGGAGATTGGCGAGACGGCATTTTGAGGTCAACCATCCTCCCAAGAGGTATGACGTTTTCCACATGATTCTTCATTCCGCATGGCTTAGAAGACTGAATGTCAGGCTTCGGCCTGCACCTCAACACGTGTGATCCATCCACGACTGCTTACCCAAGCTTGCCTATGCTCCATCCCAACTGCAACATGTCTACCTAGCAACTACATCTGTACGTTTAATTTGGACAACTCATGCATGCCGCAAGGATTTAAATTATTTTGTTTTGTTAAAAGAAACAAACAACTACTTAGCTAGCTTCATTCTGTTGTGTGTACATACCATGTATGCTGAATGAACGTTGTTGACAAGTGAATAGATCCAAGCCCCATTTAACTTAGTTTTGAGTATAGTGTACTACGTAATATATAAATATCAAGTGTTATGTGCAAATCATCCATGAAAAACAAACACAATATTGGCGAATTTAAGGTCAAGGTGGCAATTTGTTCTAGCTGTAGGATTAATTTTAACTATTTTTATTCATAAAAGAATTTCCATTAGCACATACTCCGTATACAACATTTAGATATGCTATACTCTGAGTTTAGACAATGATAAAAATAAATTAGATTTTATCATTGAATTGTTCAATTATAAAAGTTTATCAAATATTTGAAAGGGAAAATTCCTGAAAATAAAGAATCTAAAACGTTCAAATTCACAAATATTTAAGCTTTTCCCCATGAGACAAAACAATAATAATGTGTTTATAAGTACTGATTAAAATGATCAAAATTGATCACAATTATTATCTGGTTCTGAAGCAAATTGTTGGCGCGGGGCTCCCCACACGAAAAACTAAGAATTACCTCACAATACATAGTTGGAGCGAAGTTCAAAAAATTAACCTGTGTTAACATATTAGTCTCAAATGGCTTTTTTATACAAATAATAATGAATAACTACCACCCGATCTAGTAGCTAGCCCAGTACACCTTCTACTCCATTTATCAGTGTGGTTTAACCCTATTTGCATCTCCCATTTGAATTCAAATCAAGCTCATTATTGATAATTTGTGAGGTGTGTGTTTGTGCAGAATTTTTGAAATACTACAACATTTTCTTAGTTGTGGGGCAATGTATTATTTCTAGGTGTCTCTCCCATGATCTTGCTAATGAGCCCAAACTTCCCTATGTGATAACAAGACATACATGCGCACCTTCAGTGTGCTCGGGCTTCGGGCTCGGGCTCAGTTTCAGGCTCGGGCTCGTCACGGTGACAATGGATGGTAACCATGGTAGTAGCACATTGCTAAGCTAGATGAAGTTGGCTCAGTAGAAATTAACTCAAAGAATGGAAAATAATTTTCATAAAATCGAACATTACGATTAATGTAAATCTTGTCAGCAAGAGGATTTAAACAAGGATATCTTTTATACTCAGGAGCATATAGCCTAAAACTACACACAACACAGATCTTGGGGATAACTTATTGCCAAATGTGGAATTAAAATTTGAAAAACATGCACACCTTAAAATGGGCATAAAAGAGAAGTCTGGTGGATAATTAAAATGTTTTCCAAAAGGTGACAAACCATTTAAATTTGGAGAAGGGAGACGATTAATATTATAGATAGCAGTGAACACAACATTGTGGGAGCTAATTCAAATAGACGATTAATATTATAGATATCTACCCAAAATTTGGCCTGCATTTTTGCTTCAAAAAGCATAGTGTGAGCTAATTCAAATAGATGACGATGTCTTCTTTCAACAACTCCATTTTGTTAGGCTTAACAGGACAAGATTTGCGAAATAAAATGTCATTTTTTCGAAAATAAGTCATGCATACCATGATTTTCAAACTACTCACCCCTGTCATCACTTTGAAATTTTTTAATTTTAGAAGTAAATAAATTTCCCACCACTAATTTAAAATGTTGCAAGTGGCGCATGACTTCACTTTTAAGGCGCATGGGATATAGTCAAGTAAACTAAGAAAAATCATCTATAAATATCGAACATAATATTTGAAGCTAGACTCAAAAAATGTAGGAGATTGCCGCATATCAGAAATTCAGAATGAATTTAAAAAAAATGGTGAAGTAGATTTATGCCAAACTTCTTGAAAAGGTCATCGTTGTGATTTTCCTAACCGACAAGAAATGCAATCATGAGAAAAGGAAGATGTACTAAAATGGAGCTAGACTTCTTAATAGTATCTAAAATGAGACTTCCACAATGTCCCAAGCAACGATGCCAAACAGGTCCAGGAGCAATAGTACTGAATCTAATACCTGTATTAAGGTGAATAATATTTGTAGTTCTTTTTGGTTTGATAGTTGTTGTGACCTTGGCCCCCTGTACATTTTTCATAATAATATCCATGCTGATATAGAGCACTTAGTGATCTCTGAGGCCATGCCTAATAAAAACTTTATTACCACTATAAGAAATAGCCTTCCCACCTCTTTTTTTAATCCTGGCTTAAGTCCAAAATCCTAAGGTTATGAGGCAGGGCCAGGGAACACCACGCCAATTATTAAATGAAGAAAGGATTACAAAGAGTAGGAGGACCAAACCGATGCCTACTTGAAAACAAGAGATCAAATAATATAAGGAAAACTAATAGCATCAAACTTGAGAATGCCTACAAAATGATTAAAATCATGAGTGGTGGTTTTAATAGACATGCTTTTTATAGGCTAAGAATTCTGCCGCACTATTGATCTTCGGGTTGACATGGGTAACTATGTAGTTGACATTTTTTAGCTTTGCCCGGATACTTTGAATACGTGGCCAGAATTGCCAATGCTGGAGTGATAGCCCTGAGAGTCCTTCATAGACATCTTTATGATCAACCTTGAAAATAAAATTACAACAGTTAATTTCGCACAGGAGAGGGATAATATAATCAATAGCATCATATAAAGTATTAGTAGGTTGGCCGTGGTTCGCAAGATGGGTAGCATGACCCATGTAGTTGCCCTGGTTATTTCTGACAATGGCAGCGGACCGAACAAGGCCGGGTTTTAAAATGCGGGAAGCTATGTTAATCTTGCAGTAGCTAGAGGGAGGTTTGGTCTAGACAGTAATAGCAGGTCTCTTGTCTTTTTTATTGGTAGGGGCGGTGAAAATATTGAAAGGGCCAGCATGCTCATTTGTGGCGAACGGTTTGGCAATCGACATAGCAAAAATTTCAGTCTTTAAAGCATTTATCGCCTCAGGGAAGGTGGCCTTTTTGTTATCATAAATGGTTTTGTTTCGAATTTTCCAAAGGTGCCAAGTAATGGTATTGGGCAGAACATGATTGAAATCTTTTATAGTGCTTTTGAAATCAAGATACCATCTAGTAATATAATTATTAAAGGTGCCATTGATGGAGGGACACAAGTTAAAACAGCTTTCAAAATGGTGCCAAATGCTTCTTGCAAAATGACAATTCAAAAAGAGTGGTCTAAAGTGTTCTTGTTGTTGTAAAAAGGGCACTTGAAAGGGCCATGGATACCAAAATTGATGAGTTTGTCCTTGAAAGGAATAAGGCAGTTGTTGAGCCTCCATAAGAAAAATGATCTTTTTTGGGTACGATTATTCCAGAAAAACTTGGCATTGGAAATAGGACTCATTTTTGGCCTAATAACATCATAGGAGCTATTAAAACTGAAATTGCATGTTGGGTTTCCGAATTTGGGTATCGTTCTCTTCACTAAAATGGATGTTCATATCGTGGATCCTGTCAATAATATATCTGGGTAGGCAGTTGGACTGGAAGGATAATGTTATTATTAGCCATAGCTTCAGAAACGGTCAAATGCTCAATAGCATAGGGGATATCATTCTTAAAATGGTACATAGGGCATAAGTCACTCCAGTTAGAATACCAAAAGGAGTTGCATCCATTTTTAACGTGTACACAACAATTCACATCAAAAGTAATATGGACAGATTCCAAGGAATTATACACAACAGAAACAACATTACCTGTAAGAGATTTAACCCAAGCAGCCCATAAACCCTTACCATTATTAAGTTTTCAAAGTAGCTTAATAAAAAAAAGTTTTCTGGATGTGTATCAGGCTACGAAAATGGCCTCAAATCAATGAACCAACACCAAACTCCAACAGTATACAAACTCCAATAGTATATGGCTAATTAATCAATAACATCAGGGTCTCCATTTTGGGTTTCTCCTTTTCAGCCTCTTGAAGTACAATGATGTTTTCCTATGAAATCTATATACTTACAGTAGAAAAGGCTATCGAACTGATTCTATATGAGGGTAAACTTATTCTTTAAACTCTGGGATACATTGTGATAGTAGCCGAAAATTACAGACCTAAGAATAGCCATCCACAGTTGTATCTAGTGGAGATTTGTAGGGCGTAAGAGCAGTCGAGTTCCATTAAGACACTCAGAAAGAGAGGTTTGAATATTAAAAAAAAGAACTAACTGTATGTGAGAACTACAGATATAACTTTTTCTTGCTGTGAGAATTTACAAAGATGTTATTCACAAAGCTAGTGTAAATAGTTTGTATAGAAAAAAGGATGATGCAGCTGCAAATGTAGATACTCTCTATTAATAACATGTAGAAATATAGAACAACAACTAAAATATGCAGGATAGCAGGAAGATTGCTATGAAATTATGAAAGACTTGGTAGCAATAAGCTGATGTTCTTTTCCAGAAACAATCTCCTAAATGCAAAAAGAATGCCTTAACTGTTAAAGAATGAAAGAAAATAATTTCTATGCAAGGAAGAACAAATCTGCAGTCATAACCTTCTGATTTTTGCATAAAAACTATGTAACATGTAAGTATAAGTTGTCTAAATATGATGTTAAGGATTGGCAATCAAATGGAGAAAATCATTGATAAAATGTGCATGAAAAAAATCTGCTGAATTTGGTTAAATCCTTAAGATTCAAAAGTATCTACTGTAGATATTACTAAGTAATATCTACTAAGTAATTAAATGGATTTTAGTGAGCAAACTTGGGCAAGGAAGAAAAAACTCACTAAATAAACCAAGTTTTGATAGGGAGATGGATACATGAATAAGGAAATTTTGATGCTGTGGCAGAATTATTTACGCTGAGAAAGATATTGTTGCACGATAGTGTTCACGGAGTACTGCCATGCATCATGCCTGTGTGCAGACCTAGCTTCTACAATGGCTCTTCCAAATCCCCCCTAAGCTTCTTTGTCAATCACTCTTGATAATGAGTAAGATGCAAAATGAAAGAAGCAATGAAGCCTGTGTGCACACCTAGAATATACAAACTAATGAAAAAAAATTGTAGGATACAAAATGAAAGAAGTTATTAGCAACATGTAACAAAAAAGCATCATCATGTAATAATGTAAGAAGTGTAAATAAAGATTAAGATCCCAAATAACAAATTTTAACAATGAATGTCACAACTTAACATCTTAATTAAATTGTATCATAAAATCAGCACCAGAGTTCACTTTCAGCTCCAATGGGCATCCACTCTACCATGTTATACATATATTTTGTTCAATGTAAATAAAAGTGCAATTGAGTCAAGAAGATCAGATAAGAATATTAATTAGGGGGATTTTCTTATCTGCCTGGCGGAACATGTAAGAATGACTGCCATCTACCAATAATTGAGCAATTCATCAGCTTGAAAAAAAATGATTTCATTGTTAGTGGATAGATTATTAGGAAGTATTAAGTGAAAGTAGTCAGTTAACGAAGGCTGTAGCGTATGGCTTGATCCATTTGCAACCCACTTTTTGAGGATCAGAAACCTCAAGGTCACACAAAGAAGCATGCTTCAGACACTCTCACTCATGATGGCATGTTGGAACCACTTCCAAGTTGCTGCAAGCATTATCAACGGCTTCCCATCAAAATAGGTTATACTCCATACTCCATACCTGTAAAAAAAATGGGATTTCAAGCTCAAAAGCTATTAGTGCACAACAATTCTCAGCACACTAATCAAACACAATAAGTTATACTCCATACCTGTAAAAGTAAAAGTATAAAGCTAGAATATCATAACTAAAGCAGAGGTTTAGGAATATCCTTATATCTAAGCAACTGTAAGTGTAACTAAATGCATTTTATTTTAGCTATCAAAATAGTGTTCCTAAAGCAGAGGTTTAGGATCTAGTCAATATTTTTTGGTGGAAAATAAGACCTATAATTCTGATAAGGCAAAAATAAAGCAGGAAATGCATACCTTGAGATATATTTTAATCTATGTGCTTTCTCTTGGAACGGCAGAGGGGCCTAAAGGAGCTGATTGAGCCCCTGCTACTCTTTTGAATTTTTGGATCATCAAAAATTTTTACTCTGGGTCAATAAGATAATGTTATCAATGAGTAAGTAACTAATTTTTTAAATAAAAAAAATATATTTACCCAACTTGGATTATAACTAGATTGACCACCTTCCCATACTATATGAGTAACATGCTTTGCATCTATAACAAACAATCTGCATTTCTGCTTCTTTCTCTTCATCTGCTCCATTATAATACATTCATCACAACTCACTCATCTGGGGATGAAAAATGATGAACAATGAAATTACGTCTTGAACAAAATGAGTATTATCTACTATAGAAGGTAAAACAAAATAAAATCAACATAGCACGCAATATGACAATAGACCTCAGAAGTGTTCACATCGAATTACTAGCGCGTAAAAGCTTTCACAAAGTTGTCATTAGTCCTAAATAATGTTAGCCTATATTAGCTTATGCATGAAGAAAAACAATCAAGAAGTTATGCTTTTCATTCCAGACATTACTTACCATATGATAGTGACACTGGAAGGCAACAGATTAGTTTCTCTATTGACAATATAAAATTCAAGCATTACAGTGAGTACTTTTCACGCCCCATCATAAAAATTCTTTCTTCTTCTAAACTTTAGCCATGAAAGTGAGAGCATCTCTTAGTATGTTGAAAACTACCTCATTACTGTGCAGATCAAGTGATCCCAATGGAGACAATTCTCCTATTTCTGTTTGTAATGAAGTAAAAGCATTGTTCTTATTAGAGAGGAATGATCAAAAGTAAAAACCTAGACTAGAGAAAGTCTTGGACTATATAAAACTTTGAGGATATATCATATATACCCTAGATAAAACTCCAAAAGAGTGGAACATCCCTTTATCAATGAAATTCCAGCAAGTTATATAATAATAAAATACGAAATCAGTCGAGTCAAGACAAAGACCTGGTTAATATGAATAGCAATAATAAGAAAACAAAACTCAATTTGAAAATCTATCAAGCTTGTTTTACACACTATTGTGATGGACATCTAGGAGAATTAATCGTTTAAGGTTTCCAATGTTATATGAAATTCCTTTCAGCAAGTACTTAGCCGAAAAACGTCCACATGTAAAGGTAATATATCAACCCAGATTAATAATCAAACTAAAGAGAAATATAAATAGTTAAAATTACATGAAATCCAACGCTTTGTACATACACACTTACACAATAACAAGATCCTGCCCCCATAGTCAAGCTCCACTATATTCTCTTATTATTACACAACCTAAGCTCGGAATTGCACTGAGGAGAGATTTCCGACTCAAAAAACACGAAGAAACAAAGGAAAATCAGATTCGTCTCAAACAGTAAAAATCCCATAAAAATCCTAGATTTTCTTTAACCAAAATCGCTGAAAATCGGAGTTTGAAAGGAAATTAACCAAAATTTTGTTCGATTGAAGAAGCCCTACGGAATATAGCTTCCAGAGCTTTTCGAATCGCAGAAAGGTGTGGTCTTCGTTTTGGGAAAGTCCCAACAAGAGGAAATTGGAAGTTGGAAGAGATAACCTGGACATCGTTTTCAGAGAACGAAACCGCTGGGAACCCTTTGTATCTACCTGGCATCTTGGCTGGGAGATCCAGAAAGTTTATGTCGGAGAAGAGACATGGTTGAAGATGTACGCGACGGCCATGGAGGGTGTCTGTTACCACCTTAGCGTAGGTCACTTCAGTTTGGGTCGCCGGTTCGTGACCCTCCGCTGGCAGCATCGCTTCCGCTCAGGCGTCAGGATTACGAACGATGCGAATGAATAAGAGAGAAGGAAGAGCTTCTCGGTCCAAGTACTGAAAACCAATTTCCATTATTTAGAATAATGACCCCGAACAGAATAGATTTTTTATGAGAATTATAAATGTGACCCGTTTCTATTTTTGCATGTGTCAGTATACGACACTGATACCATTGTATCACAAAAATATGGCATATATGCATTTCAAAGACAATATGTCGTCTATTAGTGACACTTTATCACAATGTGTCACTGACAAAGTGTCACTATAAGCCAGTTTTCTACTAGTGTATCCTCCGTCTCCATGAAGCCATTTTTATTTACGAGAGAACCCAACCTTCTTCTCTATGAAGGAGTGAGCGAGATCAGAGAGCGAGGCAAGGTTAGAGCTACGGCCGTCGCTCCCTTTGTCTAGGTGTACAGCTGAGAACGGAATCTGACGTATGTACGGGCAGCTTGTGCTGAATTCCAACGACCGAATGCCCTCTTAACAGTGGTATCAGAGCTAGGATTACCGTCGCAGTTAAAATCGCCATTTATCGCCTTCTGAAATACCACCCGCTGGTGATTAATTACTCAATCTCTCTCACCAGTGGTATATCGAGATAGAGTTGTCGTTGGCTACAACCAAGTATTTTGAATAATTTATATAAAAAAACCATTTCATGTAAACTTTATGGAATAATGATATAAATAATGCTATTATCTTTTGAATGGAAAAAATGGGGCATGATTTTTTTTGGAGAAAAAAGCGACTGAGTAGAATTGGAATAAGAAAAATCAATCATGCTTCGTGTACACAACATATATTCGAAGAAAAAAAACTCCTGGTAAAAATTTTAAAAAACACTCCTTAATTCGTCTCTCATGTTGTCTCTCCCATCTCCAACCTCTCACCTACAACTTCTTCCTCCTGCATCTCTGACCTCCCTCTTGCAGCCTGAGGCCCCTCCATCATGAGTTTCTTCATCGGCGATAATAAGAGATCTCTTCGGTGGCGGCGGCGATTCAACTTAAGATCCGAGCCAGTAGAATTTTGATGGATTGTAGCGTCTATGTTTTTAACTCGATGAAAAAGAGAGGTTTCTTCGCCGAAGGCAAGAAGATATCTCTTCAACGACCTCCAAATTTCCTCCAATGGCGGTGGCAAATTTTTTCGATAGCGACCACGACAAGTCTCTTTTGTAGGGATAGGGACATTTGGGGGCAGAAGGTTGGTGCAGGGGCTTGAGGTAGTAGTGTGAAGTGGTGGGTGGGGGCATTAGCAAGGTCAGGATGGTGGGTTACTAACGGGGGATGTGGGGTCAGTAACAGGGATGAGGCTCACTGATCACCATGCCCAAGGGCAACTGACTGGCTTGGGCGTCAAGGTAAGATCACTGTAGCAAGTAGCAACGAGTGACTGAGGTGATAGGTCACTGGACATTTGAGTTAATGGGGTGTCTACGTTAGGTCAATCCGAGATGGTGTCACTAGGTATTAGGAGGATAAGGTAATAATATAAATTAATGAGTTTCTAGATTTAATACAAGTTTATTCACATATTTCAAAATCCAAAACAATGTCTCTTTTTAATTAATTATCTAATTTTTTGTATTTCGTATGTCCCATAAAACTTGATTATTGACTTTTCTTGGTCAATGATGATCATGTTTGATCAATGACATTTTTTTAGTATAAAATTATTTAAAATATTAAAATTAAATGAAAAAGTTCTGTTTTAAACATACTATAGAAAAGTATGAAACTTATAAGTTTCACATAAATATAATAATAAAAATCAATATTCAATGTTCATCACTACCTCCATCCCAAAAAAAACTTTGTTATCTTCAAAACTTTTACCGTCTATATACTTTTATTGGAAATTATTTATAATAAAAATTATATGAAAATGTTCATTGTTAAAAGTATTTTCATAAAAGTATAAAATTTAAACCTTTCATAATATTATACTTCCTCTGTTCCGCTAATATTGTCTCATTTTACATTTTAGAGAAAATCCTACTAAAAATGTCTCATACCAAATTTAATTAAGTTTGTACGGTTCTAAATCATTTTTGCTCTATTCTTACTTTATCAATTCAATATCAACCACATATACTCACTTTTCTTAATAGTCGTGACACCATCTTTTGTCCTAATGTTAGTGAGACGGATGTAATACTAATAAAAAACACAATTCAAACTTTACAAGATGACCAAGAAAAAACAAATTGACCAAGTTTTATAGGACAAATGAAGTCATATTCGTGTCAAAATTTCAATTATATTAATTTTTGAAATTTGCAATTCAAATTATTATTTTTTATAGGGGTAATTTGACTTTGCACCTCATTTTATTGTTCAAATTGGACTTTGCACCTCATTTTTAAAAACTTTTGTATTTGGACCCCCAACCCCATATGAAAAGACAAAAATGCCCCTCCATTAACATTTCTGTTGGCCTTCAATATATTCTTGATCGGGAGGCATTTTGTCTTTTCATACGGGGTTGGGGGTGCAAATACAAAGTTTTTTATAAACGGGGTGCAAAGTCCAATTTGGACAACAAAATGGAGTGCAAACTCAAATTAACCCTTTTTATAAGAGAATCTTTTAAAAATATTACTGAAATGAAATTTATATTGGAGCATAATAGTTACTATAATATATTCTCATAATTTTTTGTGAAAGGATAATATAGTCTCATAATTAAGTGGCTATGAGATACTTAATTATAAAAGTTGAACATAATTTATTATGACTAAATTTATTATTGCTTTAGGATGTCACATTTTTATAAACAAATTTTAGTTTTGTTATATACTCCCTAGGTATTTTAACGTTTACCACAATAGATTTGGACACATTATTTAAAGGTTAAATATTAGGAGTAATGAATAGTGCAGAAAAAGTTGCAGAGAAGGTGAAAAATATGAAAGAGAAGATAAAAGGTAGAAAAAATAAGGATAATTGAGTATTTTCAAAGAAAAACTTATCAAAAAGATAAAGTGTAACAAACTTTTAAATACATCCAAAAAAGAAAAGTTTAGCAAACATTAAAATACAAAATTAGTTCTTTTTATGATTGTCAAAACTGTTAGGGTTTAATGCACCAAACCCCCCTGTGATTTGGAAATTCGGCGCATTAGCCCCTGTGATTTAAAAAATGCGTCAAACCTCCCTGTGTTTTAATTAATTATGCACCAAATCCCTTATGTGAACAAATTCAATTATCAAATAAAAGAAAAATGATTAACATTTTTGTATGATTCAGAGATTTTGACATATTTATTTGCATCTTCAATCAAAATATTATGAAAAGTGATTTTCAAATCGTTAAATTTATTCATAAAGGGGGTTCTGGGCATGATTAATTAAAATACAAGGGGGTTTGATGCATTTTACTCAAACGGTTAGGAGACAAATGTGGGGAAATGTGAAAAGGAAATGGTTATATTAAAAATATAATTGAGGTAACAAACCCCAGACCGAAACCCAAACCAGCATGAAAACTATGGGCTGTATTTTCCAAACGCACAAACAAAACTTTTCTAAGACCTAGAAACCAGCTGCAAAATTCCGCCCATCAAATCCCTCTTTATCTACCGATCTCCATATTCCGCAAATCCGTACTGCTAGATCTACCTGTAATAATCTTCTTTTCGCTCATACCTGCAAAATTTAAACAAGCCATTCAGCTTTTCATGGTGAAGAAGTTAAAGATCTCGTCTCTGTTTCTCGAATCTTTTTTTGCTTTCCGTATCATAAAGGTAACAAGTTGCTGTGTTGAATTTTAGGCTTTTAACTTTGGGTGTTAAAGATTGGTCTTCTTTTAGTTCACGTTTCTCAAAACTACGGGGATTTCTCTTACTTTTCCTGAAGCTAACATATTCTTATATCGAATTTTTTATTTTCAATATTTAGTTTTTTTTTTGTTTTGCAGTTTTCTACCTTTTTTGGCATTCAACAATATTGTCATGTATGCTCTTGGAATATTCTCTGAATGCTAGGATATTCTAAACGTATTGAATTTCTCTGCTTTCAATATTGGTTGTTAATGATTGTTTCTTTTAATATCTGTTACATAAAACAATGGTTCTATCAGGTTTCATTTTCTTGAAGCTAATTCCATATTCTTTGTTTTGATCGTATTTTTTGTTTTCAACAGTGGATGTTCATCATGATTGCATTATTATAGTGATTGGGTATGGAACCTAGTGGGATGTATCCAAGTATGGGATCTGGGATGCTAGGGCTGGAAATGTCACTCCACGATCATATCCCTCCTCAGCAGCAGCAACCCAAACTGACCATGGTTCCAATTGATCACCACTCTCATTCTGTTAATGTTCACACTTATGGTAATAAGCCCAACATCCAAGGGCTATCTTTCAACAGTGATAAGGATGAGCCTGCTGGTACGGGGGGACCCACTGCTGATCAGAGCGGTGCAGAAGATGGGAAGAAGAAAATGTCACCCTGGCAGAGGATGAAATGGACAGATGAAATGGTGAGGCTGTTGATAATGGTGGTGTATTACATTGGTGATGAGGGTGCCCCTGAGGGGAACAATACTCACGCTAGCTCTGAGAAGAAGGGCAGCCATGGAGGGGGGATTTTGCAGAAGAAAGGGAAATGGAAATCGGTTTCCCGGGCAATGATGGAGAGAGGGTTCTATGTGTCTCCGCAGCAGTGTGAGGATAAATTCAATGATTTGAACAAGAGATATAAAAGGGTGATTGATATTCTTGGGAAAGGTACTGCTTGCCGTGTTGTTGAGAATCAAAGTTTGCTAGAAACCATGGATTTATCACCCAAAATGAAAGAGGAAGCCAAGAAACTGCTTAATTCCAAGCACTTGTTCTTTAGAGAAATGTGCGCTTATCACAATAGTTGCAGCCATGGCGGTGGCGCAAGTGGAGGAGGGGTTGGAGAGTTCCCATCAGATCAGCCTAATCCTCATCAGCAGCAGCAGCGAAAGAAGTGCTTGCACTCTTCTGATGGACCTAGAGTGGAGCATAATTTGGGCCGAGCTGAAACTGAGGAAGCCGTGAAAGCCCGTGAAAGCAGGGAAGAAGAAGAAGATGATGAAGAAGAGGAAGAAGAGGAGAGCAATGATGATGAAGATGACGAGAGTGAGACAGAGGAACAATCAAGAAAGAGGCAGCGAACAGACGTCATTGCTCATCAACTGAACACAGAATGGACAAATATGTGTCAAGATGGAAACAAAAGTGTGATGGAGAAGAGGCATTGGATAAAGGGGAGAATAATTCAGTTGGAGGAACACCGGGTGATGTATGAGACAGAAAAATTGGAGCTCAGGAAGCAGCAGTTGCAGTGGGAGAAATACAGAAGCAGGAAGGAGAGGGGAATGGAGAGGGAGAGGCTTGCGAATGAGAGGAAGATACTGGAGAGTGAGAGAATGGTTCTTCTTCTACAGCAAAAAGAAATGGAATTGCTTGATCACCAAAGAACCAGTGACCCATCTTCTGTTACTGGGTGAGGCATGCATGTCTGATTGCCTGCAGAGGCTGAAGGAGGAGGTGGTATAAAATATGGCTACTGCACCATACAAGAAACTGTTTCTGGTTTATTTAAGTAACAGAAAAGCACACCGTGAATTGTTTTGTTTTCTCTTTGTTTTTTTAGGCACAAGTTCCATTGAAAAGATTGTAGCAAAGCTTGCTTGGTCGCTTGCTTTTTGAAATCTTCGAGGCTAAAATGGCCGTCCTACCAGTCATTGCAGCTGTTAGACTGTGTGTAGTAAGAGTGTAGTGTATGCATCTTCCCCTGATGTTATAGGGTCACAATAGATCCTTCCCCTAAGCTAACATATGTAGCTTGCGCAAGCAAATTGAGAAAAAATAATCTCCCACAGGCAGTTATTGGCTCTTGCTTGCTTAAATGATTAATGACACAAGATAAATCATGGCAGCCCCAAAGGTCCAACAACAACAAAAAAGTGTGCTATGGGGATTCCCCTCCTCCCGAATGGAGGTAAGGAATACCTCCCTAGCTACTAGTGGCAGGCACTATGGAGGGAGCTGGCTGCTACCCAACTAACAGCCCAAAGAGTTTTGTCAATAGAATTTGGAACCTTGGAAACGGTATATCCCCCGCAGATATCATGTATACTTGGCCAAAGCCAAAGTATAAAAGCTTGACTGGCCTCCACCTGTTCTACATGGATAATGGATATTGTTCAAACCTGGAATCAGTTCAACAAATATGTTTTCCCTGTCCAAGTGTCTGATTGATGCTATATGGAAGGAATATGTTTAGGAGACCTGTTGACTGCTGTAACTCTTTAGTATCTCAAATATGAATATGGGAGGGAGGGGCTTGAGTTAATAAGTCAGGCAGTTATAGTTAGGCTATCTTTATGTTGCAACTATCTGGAATACCACCCTTTTTGCTTGTAAACCTACAACTAAGCTACCTTTAGGCTTAAGCAAGTCAAAGTTGTTCTATGTGACATGTTCATAGAATAATGTATGGTTTTTGCATATCATTTTTTGAGCAATTGAGCGTGTGAAATCAGCTGTTGATGGACTTTGATGACCCCGACTCCTAAAGTATTGATTAACAATCATAATAGTAATTATTCTTATTATTTGTATTAGCTATCAAATATTTATACTCGTATAATATTTCAAATATCAATAAAAAGATTTACACAATGCTTTTTTATTTTTTGTATAAATGAAAGGGTTATGTTTTGGGAATAAGGCTTGGATGTTGATGTTGTATACATAAGGGTATGTTCATATTCTTGTCCATCTAATATCAATCACATTATGATTTTAGTATAAACCACTTTTTTTTTGGGATTTTTGTTTGCTTATTAAGTACTCCGTATTAATGTTATTAAATTATTGCAGAATATACCTTGGGATCGGCCCACCGTGCGCACGGTGTGCCGATCCCTAAATGATGCAGTTTTAATTAAAAAGAAAGTCATCTTCATTCCCAACTGTTAGGCAGACCATTCCTCCCCTTGCAGATTCGGTTTGGAGACATGGAAAACCACCAGAAGCCGGCAAGCCGCCGTTGGATCCCAATTTGTTCAGAACTATATATCCCCTATCAATTCAAACGATTTTTTGTCACGCCCCAGACCGCAATCAAGGCATGTGTCCAACCGCCGTATAATTTAGTGACGTTACCCACGAGTCAACCTCACTTAGGGAGTGTTTGGGTTTGCTTAAAAAAAGTGCTTTTCAGCTTTTGGCTTAAAAAAAGTTGAAAAGAGTGTTTTCAAATGACAGCTTCTGCTTAAATTAATCACTTAAAAGCTAAAAGTTGGAAGCAGGTAGAAGGCTGCTTTAAACTGCTTCTCACTTTTTCTATTACACAAAAAGTACTTATTTTACCAAACACTACCAACTTTTACTTTTCCAGAATCACTTTTTTCTCAAACACTACCAACTTTTACTATTAATCACTTTTCCCAAAATCACTTTAAAAAATCACTTTTTTAAAGTTGAAGCAATTGCAAACACTCCCTTAATCATACAAGGCGTTCGAGAAAATAATCCATCCATACTCAGTAGTAAACATACATAACAACATCACATTAAAACCAATGAATAGCGGAAATATTCAACGGTAAGTCATAAGCCACATACAACCAACAACATGGGCATGCAAGCCCAAAAGTAGTTTGTAATAAGTAAAATATCCATGAGCAATGTTTTGTAGTTTGAAAGAAAATAAGGAAGCACGAACCACGTCTTCCTAGAATTGATACCACCCGTGGAAAGGTGCAAGTAGCAAGCCCTAGCTTCAACCTGGAAATGGTGGGCCCCCGAAGGGGTTAGTACAAGTATCAAGCGAGTAGCAGACTAAATGTAGAATAACTAGCGTTTCAAGTATAAGACCCAAATATAGGGTGATACATACATAGTCCTTTTCCCCCAAGTGATGAAATACTTATTAATATATATACACAATTGGAAAATACTTGATCCGTAGATCACCGTTTTCTTTAGGAAAAATAGTAATAGTCAATATCCTTGACAAAAAACCCCAACCCACCCATATACCTATGAGTGTATAGGACTTCTCCTTGTCCATAATTCAATATCAAAATCTATGAGTTTTGAGGATAACATAATCCTTGATTACTTCACCAATTCATGATCCGAGTTTTGAGGACATTTAGTCCTTAGGTCCTCCACCGTTATACTTATGAGTTTTGAGGACTCTTTAGTCCTTGGGTCCTCCGCCATTATACTTATGAGTTTTGAGGACTCTCTAGTCCTTGGGTGTTCCACCATTATACTTATGAGTTTTGAGGACTCTTTAGTCCTTGGGTCCTCCACCATTATACTTATGAGTTTTGAGGACTCTTTAGTCCTTGGGTTCTCCACCATTTATACCCCTATGATTTACCTCATATCAACCTAGATAGAGTCAATATCATATTCATTTATTCAAGGCTAAATTAATCCATAAAGCCTATACATACATCATTTCATGCAAAGCCATGCATTTACATCAATTTATGATTATTTAATACCAACCGGTGTTGGTTACCCCGTTGTCAACCGGTCAACGTTTTCGTTGACCGCCGTTCAAATTCTTGTTCATATTATCTTAATCACCACGTGTATTAAGGTAATATCATTCATATTATGCTTCTTTTACATTTCAAACATAGCATACATTTTCATTGAAGACTCATATCATATTTCATGCACATTCAAGTAATTCATTTCATACAAACCTAATCATTTTGGCTAATCACATGTTTAAATATCTTTTAAACATCATTATGAATACATATAACATTTATTTGGGTAATCTCACAATTAACCCAAAAGTTATAAGACATTAAGCCGTCCACTCACATCGAATTAGCGCTATGAAGGTCTCACAATTAACTCCGGCGAAACTCCGGCGACTTTTGACTAACTCCGGCGACTCTTTCAACTTTGTGAAAGTTATTGAAATGCCTTTTACAAGTGCCTAACAAGGTTTTGTAATCATAAAACCCATATTAATACAAATAACCTCTAAAAGGTAATTTTCCAGCAAATCGGTCGTTTTGGCTTCTAAGTCCGTTCTTGGACATAAAACCACCTTCCAACCCATAAATCCATACTTATAACATGTGGATCCATACTAAGGGTGCTTCATATGATATATACCTCATATGGTAGAAGAAAAATAAAGGAAAAGTTATAATAAGGTCATTACCTTAATTATTCACACTTTTCCCAACTTTTTCCCTCTTTAATCTTCCTCCTTGGACTACTTTAGGTTGAGCTCGAATTTTGGCTATGGAACATGAAGTTTCAAAGCTCTCTCTTCTCCTTTCCTTGGTGCTGGCCGAACCACAATGATGAGGGAAAAGGGGGGATGAGTTTCCTTTTGTCTCATGTGTCAAATAAGAGTGAGAGGGCCCCTTTTGATGTCAAAGATGTCTCCCCCATCCCTTCAAGTGTTTCTCAGCCAATTTTGCACTCATACAACCCTCAATGGTTGAAAAATTCGTGGGGTGGCCCCCACCCATGTGGGAGGTCATCCTAATTTGTCCCAAAGTGTACAATTGGCCCCGAAAGTTGTATTTCTCAGACTGTTTTAATTATATTTTATTTTATCGGGTCAAATAGAATATATTACTTACTCTCAATCATAATGGCCTTTAGAATAAATATATATTTCACAACTTTAATTTAGAAGTCTCCGAAATTCATTTCGGGCTGTTATCTGATAAATTGTCAGAACTGGTAATTGGGCCGCTTTTGACCAATCGGTCAACCCTGGGCCTCTCTATGGCCCAAATAAAATATCCACCACCATATAATTATTATCTAGACCAAGATGAATAAACTATATGGTTTCGGGATTATCGGGTGGTCCCCGCTCCCAGTGCGGGTCCCACGTGCATTTTACTATTCACGCGAAAGAAATAATAAAAATTTACAACTTCGTAAATTCATTAATCATTCCATAAGGTTCAATACATTATTTACTTAGAAGTAAACACAATTGGGGACAGTGTTACATTTTTTCACTGTTCGTTTCTTTGAATTGTGAATTGACACCCCCTCCCCCCACCCTGAACAGAAAGCCGCGATATCTGCTGCTATGTGTATATGTGTCCTCCTTTGAATCTAAATCTATAATAGTGCTCTTTGATTTTGTGGAAAGAATGGAGGAAAGGAAGTGTTACTGCTGTTTTATACTCGTATATACTCCTCCATATATAAAAGAGTGGAGTATTTATCTCCATTGTGTTGATGATGATCGATGGAATAATTGATTTATATGTATATTAATTAATAGTAGTGTATGGAGTTACATCTCTGTAAAGGCGTTTTACATATAAATAGGCTAAAGTTACTTTTCTCAAGTTACATCTGACATGTTTCCAAATTACATTTCAATTTAAGCAGTTAACATTTTAACAAGTTACATTTGAATGACCGTAATTTACATTTTAATTAATCTGAAGTAACATGTTGATTCAAACGATTTACATTTCATATAAGTGTGGGAGCAGGGTGCTCACCCTGCACCACTCCCACGATATAACAACTCTGAAATTATGAATGAACTCAATGAAGTTTTACTTTTAGTTAGTATTTGTCCACCCTGGATTTGACAACATAGTTTTAACGGAAAATAGTTTTAGCCGAGAATGTTTGCCGCATCACTCGTTACTAGATCGAGGACGACGAGGAGCCCCATAATCGAATAAACGTGTTTAATCCTATTGAAAGGATCAAACGATGTTTTTTGTTTTAAATAGGAGATTTTAAGCATGCCCTCTCCTCCCCACGCCTTCAATTAGGTTTACCTAGGTAAAAAGGGGAGCTTCACCATATATATGCATTGAATATGGGAGAATTCCTCAAATGGGATTAAATAAAACTTTAATTGTCAAAATAGGACCATAACTTAAGAATTTCCTAAATAGGATTAACTTTCCAATTATATCCTTTTATTGTTTTAATACAATTCATATTTTATTAATAATTAGAATATAAAAGTAATAACATAATTTTATTTATAATAAAAATGTAAAAAAAATAAAAAAAAAACAAGAAATAAATATTGAATAAAATTAATAAAAATAAAAAACGAATATTAAAAAAATAGGAGTATAAATTAAAAAACTTAAAAAATCAAATAAAATAAATAAAAAATGAAAACAATATTAAAAAAATATGTAGGCCTATGCTGCCACCTCAGCAACCTCCCAACACCTCTAGCTCCGATCACTAGAAAAAAATGCCAAAATTTGTCCGAAATGCCATCTTTAAGGCAGTCTTTGAAATTTTTTTGACATTTTCAAAGAGTAAAATGTCGTTTTTATGACAATTTCGGAGAAAAAAGGCAGATTTTTCACAGAATGACATTTTTTTAGCTGAACCGATGTAACTTGGCTAGGCAGTATCCCAGACTGTGGGAGAGGCCCCCATTTTTTTATTTTGTAAGGAGTTTTATCTATTTTTTATTTATTTCTAAATTTTTTTATTTAAAAAATAATATTTTTTTAATTTTTATTATTTTAGTAATTTTTTTAAAAAAAAATCAGAATTTGTTTACAATTTTTTACGATTTTTGTATGAATTAATTTTTTTTTTTGGGTTTATTACAAATAAAATACGATTATCCTATTAAGTTATGATAAGAGTATAATAGGTAGACA